TATCAGTCAAGTCATGTAGTCCAAACGGCGTTTTTATTTTATTAGCTATTTTAAAGAAGCAGAGCCAAATGAAATGTTTATCTTACGAATAATGCTAGATTTGCCCCCTGGCCGTTAAAACGTTGCAATTTGCATCAAATCGCTTCCCATTTGGGAAGAAGTCCGTCAAAACCCATTTGAACCAATAATCATTAATTTACCGTAAAAGGACCTCAATTTATTCATTTTAATACCCCAATGTGTTACTAGCACGTGTTCTCCGGCCTAGAAGAATTTTGTGTTTTATTCGAGATATGCCTAATTATATGCCATACTAAACCGAGTGCCTTAGAATACTTTTCTTTGGCTGATTTAAAGAATACAGAAGTAGAATGAGCAAAAATTACGGTTTGTTCTGTCTTCGGTTGCTTCGCTTACAGCAATGCATTCCAAAGTTAACTTTTGAGGGATCCATGTGCCACTAGTCTCTGCGTTGGAATTAGTATAACTGACCTGCATTTATTTCGCTCATAAAAAAGTACGCCGCTATACTGACATTGGTGCAGGTGTTAGTTACTTCACACTCAGTTTCGAAGGATATATATATGTATATATAAACACGTGCCTTTTTATTATAGTGAATCGGCAGACGTTATTCCTTTGTAAATAGAAAGTATTACTGCGACAAATTTCCAATATAATAGACATTCTTCCAATAGTATATGGTAAGTGGCAGCAGAGATGTAATTTTTATCGTCACATCAGTCATTCGTTTCGTCAATTTGCTCACAAACCTTTCGAAAATGGGTTAATAATTCGTTACTTTGGGATATAGTTTATTATTTAACTCAAGATAAACGAAACGGTATGACTACCAGCGCAGGTCGAAAATAAGATCCGCGTTTGTTTGGACAAGCGACTTATATGAACAAAATGAAGGAATGTCCCTCCGCCTAATTTCTGGAAAATTAAGGCTTCCTAGTGGGTTTGCGAACATTTTCTTTGTTATGTGTGAAAATAGACCTAAATCACAAAAAACAGGCTTGCAAGCATAATCCAAAAGCTTCTATGAAATGCTGTACCGGATACTCTGATGTACTTGCTACTTAGCACAAGTGGAATAAATTGAATGGTAAGCCAATGAAAAGAGCAAAACGACTGAAAGGGCTTACTGGCAGATTAGCTCAGTTAGTCGCGATTCGTCCAAATTGAAGGCGTAGACTCTCACAGATGGAGAGAAAAGGCCAAGAAGAAATATGAAGATATAGTTCAAATTCCTGAATGGTCAAATATACTATTAGTAAAGATATAATTTTCAATCTTAAACAGCAAAGAAGGCTATTGGAGCAACGGTAACTTCTAGCGAGTTTTTGCAGTCTGAGTGGAAGCTAACTCCTAACAAAACAAATATCAGACCTACAGTTTGCATCCCACGTCAGAACCATAGGCAACTTTAATACAACTAAAGGCGTCTGTGTATGGCAAATTTTGAAGCCTAAGTGGTCTTAAAAGTAATTACAATGAAAATTAGAAAGATTACTGAAGGAATCAAAACTTTTAACTCCCAACCGAGCTGACATCAGAGTACGGTTTTTTTCATACCTGTTTAAAATAGTGTGTGTTTCGTTTTAAGCCTATTCTTCTAAAACCTTGACTTACACAAGGGAAGACTGATATTGGGTAAAGAGCATTTTAAAGTAGAATCGAATTCGCATCTTTTTACCGATTTTTCAATCAGCAGAAAAAAATATTGTAGGTGACCTAATCTGCTGCCTTTATGACAGAGATTGTCAAATAACGTAAACCGTATGGTGTCTAACATCAAAGTATATTTGACTAGTGATAAAATATTTGGATCTTGTATGCGCTTTAAACCAGTCTTTTCAGACCACAAAGGCTGTATGCTTGCAAAAAGAATTAACTAAATCTGAGTTTTTCCGAAACTGTAACAACCAAAACATGAGAAGGGCCCATAAACTGAACATTAAAAGCTCTATGCAAACGCTGATCGCTTACATTTTGTGGCAACTGCTGGAAGCAAGTGAGAGGGCGCTGAAGTCTGTTACATAAATTTTGACCGAAAATATTCTGCGGCGTTGCGATTGGTCGCTCACTGCCATTGGTCGTGACCACGAATCCGCTTATAATACGAGGTAATAGGTTTGTAATCTAAACAGCCCGAGCGACGAATACCCGCTTTTTTAAAACCCTGGTACTGTTTCATATGCATCTCCTTAAACATTTTGCAACTCCATTATACAACCCTGGAGATTGCTGAAAAGTAATTTGAATTTCGCTAACTTAAATCACACGTCGCAGAAAATCCCAGGAAGTAAAATCCTTTCTTTAGTAGCCTGTTAGATACCCGAGATCCCCATCAGTGAGCAATGAATATGGCCGATTTTTTCTGCAGAAACTTCTAAAGTGTTCGTTTTTGAGCCAAAACAGTTATTCCATGCAGTAACTGGATCGCCTCAGGGTGCTCTAACGCCGTCCGACTGAGTGAATAATCAATACTCCATTTTATAAATCGATACTTCCGTGTGTTTTTCATTAGACTGGCCTATACTCCAGTTTTTCAGCTGTTCCTCTGAGATTGCAATGATTAAATACACGGATAAACACTGGAGATGCTCTGATTTTCCATCCACTTCAACCATTTTCCTATTATAAAATACCCGGAGTACAAGACTTCGGATAAGGGGAAACCCGTTTCCCATATGTAAATCCAATCTAGATTCTCAGGGGGTGAACAGTGAGCCTTCACAAATATGACACGGTTTGGTTGACTTATGTGGTACCCTAAACAGGACATAGGATTAGGTACATCCCGCTCAAATAATAAAGGAAGTCCTGCGCATAATTCCGGAAAGGACAAAATATCTTCGTCTCCTAACACCAACAATAAACCCAATGCAACACTAAACCGCTGCCCTAATCTTAACCATATCCCAACCCTAGGCCTTAACTCTACAGTTAACATTAGCCTTTACCTTAACGCTAAACTTGCTCCTGACTTCATTATGGTTAACTTAAAATGTAACCTTAAACCTAATCCTTTACCTGATCCTAGTACTAACCCAAAACCTGAGCTTAATTTCAATGGAAGTTGGCTCAAAGCCACCCTTATTGCAGGCGTTTCCTGTTCTCATGTCCGGTTTATGAGGCCACGTCAGTCAGCTCTAACTATGACTCATTAGGGTAAATAGGAGTAACATTATTAGCATTCTGAAATCCCAATCCTTCTAAAGGTTTAGCCAACCAGACAAATGTAATCAAACACCTGTCCAAAAGCCTGGATATTAATTGGTGAAACGTGCTGTATATTCTGCTATGCACCCGACCACTTGCAGATGGTACATAGATCACAGTTGTTCATTTAGTCTAGTCTGGACAAACCGAACTCATATCTAAGGGGGAGGATGTTCTGACCCAAAGTCTATGGATAAAGTTTCGTCCATGAGTAGATGTTCAAGTAGAGTGGGGCTATGCTACATCATCTTTGCCTTGATCGACGTGAAACTGACCCTTTACAGAGTAAACACTGCGGTTACCAGTAAGATCCATTTTTTCGAGCAGGACAAACTAAAGGGGATATGTGTTAGAAACGATAGTTCGATCGTCGCATCCGACGATGTCCACCGTATGCTTTACAGCGAGATAAGAACAGGGACGGTGGCTTGCGCGTGATTTATAATGAGAACAGACTTGCGCCGCATCTACCACACTCTTTCCACCTCCTCCACCCGGGCCCGCTGTCAAGACAGAGTCAAGAACACCGGAGACGCGAGAGAGCGCAGGTGGATGGCACGGCCGAGCGCGCACCTTGACGTTCCACTCCACACCCCCGGTCCACACAACAAATAACCAGGTTTTTGACCAACAACAACAAGGAGGAGGGAGGCTGGCTCGGCCGAAGCAGCCGCACCTAGGTGTGCCGCAACACCCGGTTCGGATTCCACAGAGTGGGAGTGCCAAAAAAGCCACATTAAGAAGGAGCCATTGCAGCCTGACTCTTAGACCACCAATCGGCCACTCCATACAAACAGACAACGTTGGACCGACTGTGAGGTCCAAGTTATCTCGTCAGTTGGCAACCTTCCATGTCACGGCTTTTAGCGCACCATGATAGCTTCAAGCGCGTCAGATGCATCGTGATAGCCTCAGACCCGAACCACACATGTAGCAAAAAAACCGCATGGAGACGGAACCGAGACACACGCTTCCCAGTTGCGTGAGAGGTGGTAGTTGGGTGCTTGCGGTGGGTGATATTAATGTGCGGTGAGATGGTGGTGAGGATGTGATGATGTGGTGCAACCGACGGTTGGCTACCGCAGGATTTCGTGGGCACGCATGTGGTGCATGAATGTTCGAGGGCAGTGGGGACAGTGGAGGCACGTGCGGCTGGTTTAGGTTGGTGCTCCAGGTACCGGTTCGCCAGTCGCTGTGCGATGGATTCGCAGGTGACTGGCTAGGCTGATGTGTGAGATGAAGGTGCGATCTCAACGATGACAGGTATAGTCCAGGTCCTCATCTCCGGTGTCGGCGGTGGTGGTGTTGGTGTCTGTTGGTGTGTCAGGATTGTGTGTAGTGCTGATGTGCATGACAGACGCCACAACGGCAGATGTTTGGGCGGTGGAGTATAAGGATAAGGATGAGTATGAGGAGGAGGATGATGGATGTGGTGGTTAAGGAGGACGGTCAGAGTTAGCTGACGGCGTAGAGGACGAGGAAATGCTGGACAGAGGGATGACGGTTGGTGCAGTCCGAGTGGTCCAGTCGAACCGAAGGTGTCTAAGAAGTGGAATTGGCGCCCGGAATGTCCGTCGACCCCGTGGACACGATGTAGGCGCCTGAGAATATAAGACTAAAGAGGGTGGGCTCCAGGACGCATCCCTGCTTCACTGCGTTGGTCACTGCGAGTGCCTCTGAAACAGCTCCATTGTCCGTGACGCGCGCCATCATGCCATCATGGAGCTGACGCACCATCTGAATGAATCGCATAGAACAGTCGAATTTCTGATGATTTTCCACAGTTCCTTGCGATTCACCATGTCGAATGCTTTCGTCAGATTCAGGAATGTAGAGTAGAGGTAGGTACGCATCTCCTGAAACTTCTCCTGCAGTTGACGGGCGGGGAAGATCATGTCCGTGGTTCCACAAATATGGCGGAAGCCGCACTGGCTTTACGGCCGAAGACCTCGATCTAGGTGATTGTTCAGGCGGTTGAGAAGGATGCGAGCAAAGATTTTTCCGACGATATTCAGCAGGGAGGTACCTAAATTATCGTCACAGAATTGACGGTTCCCTTTCCGCTTGTAGAGATGGACGATGGTGGGGTCCTTGAAATCCTGATGGACTTCTCCTTGACGCCACATCTCCTGAAAGGGCGTTGTCAGACGACCCGAGATTTGAGGTCCATCGTGCTTGTAGATCTTATCAGGGATCGCGTCCAATCCGGCGCTTTACCGCTGGAGAACTGCTTCGCGGCCCTGAGGGTTTCGTGGAGGGTGGGCAGAGGATGAGGTCCACGTTGGCCTCCATCTGAGGCAGACGGGCGACGACGGCATCAGGGATGGTGGAGAGACGGTTGGGAACGCTCCTGAAGTGTTCGGTCCATCGTTGAGGAATTTTTGTTTCCTCAGTGAGTAGAGTATTTACGCCAGTGCTGAGAAGAGAGAAAATTGCTTTGGTTGGCGGACCGTAGACAACTTTGATCGCGGAGGAGAAGTTCTTCCATTTGTTGTGATCCGCGTACGCTTAGATCTCCTCGGCCTTGCGAGCCATCCAGGCGTCCGGCGTCTCCCGCAGCCACTGTTGAACAAGACGACGACTACGGTAGAAGGCTGCTTTATTGTCGTCGATAGAGCGGTTGAGGTAGGTCTTGCGCAGGTGGTTCTCCTCAGCAAGCAGTTTGCTGATGGGGGCGTCGGCGTCATCGAACCAGTCCTGATGTGGGCGGCGTGCGCTAAAAAGAACTGCCGGCGCTGTCGGCTGGACTGTGTCCTGCATTTGCAGGCAAAGACAAAAGGGCAGTATTCAGTTTACCTGGGGGTCGCTTACTTTGAGGTCTCCTGCGAGGCCGTAGACGAATCCGTATCGTGGAGATGATGAGACGATGGCCGGTCCACCCGTCAGCACCCGGAATCGCCTTTGTTACCAGCCGCACATGGATACCTCCACCTGGTTTAGCCCGCCGGTCGAGGCCGTTACCGGGGTGCTGCCGCTAAGCAGAACGTATCGTACGGGAGCCACAGGTGAGAGTTTGGTGCCACCAAAAGGCTGCTAACTATAGTCTGCACCCGCTGTTAAATGAGCAACCTACTAGCACCGTCACATGAACCCACCGCTGGACATCCCTGCACCCCATGTGTTAGATACACATTCCTCCTGAATGGGCGTCCATTTGTAGAGGGATGAGACGCCAGTGTCTCCTTTGCCATTAAGAGCGGCATAGTGCGACTGCTGTGATGCTCCAGCTGGAAATCGACGGATACGT